GGGATCCATACCCTGAAGCCCCGCGATAAGTGAAAAACCGCAAAGTAAGTTGTAATTAGTAATTTATTTATATATTTATATATAAGCATTTTAAACCCTTCCCACACTCTTGCAATATTCTAAACAATGTTTCTAAACTCTAAATGCTCTAAAAGAGACAGCATGTCATGAACTCAGCTCATGGCCACGCCCACTTCTCCGCTGCAGAATGGAGATCCACAGAGGAGGATGGAGGAGCTGCAGAAGGATGTTTCTCCTGCAGTGTGGGCTGCACAAAGGTGCAGCAGGTGCTAAATAATTTTAAATAATTCATTTTAAATAAAAAATTCATGCCGATCGTGCGACTCATCCATCAATCAGCCAGTTGTGTGTCATGTCTATCTTATTTCGAAAAACTGCAATAGAGCGAGTCCACGAAAAACCAACTACGAAGTAACGAGGGTCTACTGTACATCTGCAACTGGTTACCATTATAAGTCAGTCGAATATTATAAGATGGCACTAACCAGTTGACCTTGAGAAACAAAAATGGCTAAAATTCAGTCCTTTCTATTGACACTGAGCTAAAATTTGGTGTGGTAGTAAATGAGTCCTTCATAACAATATTCCAAGTACTACACAATGAGCTATAGATCTCTGCTAAAAACAAGTAAAAACCGTTAGTCAATTCAGTCAACTCTAGAGATAAAAACTTAAAATGGATGTACTTGTTAAATGAAAGTAATTCAGAACACATTCTAAGAGTTTGACCAAAATGGCAATAACTTAATCATTTCCCTTCAGAAGATGATCTTAGTCTATATCTCTGGCATGAAAGGCACTCTAGAGGGCCATCCCTTCAATGAATTTATGATGAATTAAAAGATTTCAGTGAAAGTAAACTCTGGAGATCTCTACAGTCCTCTGCTGACTTACAGAACTGGTCATCTTCATCTGCAGCAGCATCTGCAGATATTCTTCGAAAGGAGTCAGGGTGCGCTCCTCTCCTTCTCTTGCCCCTTCATCTTCTGCTTTCACAGACAGAGCATTGTCCAGGAAAACAAAAAACTGACTTCTTCTTCTCAACATGCTCACAGCTCTGACACAAGTACACCAGAGAACAACAGAGAGTGGAATGCAATTAATCCATCTCTGAAGGACAAACACATCCCGAGTGAGCAAAACAATCTCAAAATGCTACATTAAAGTGAACATACATAAAACTTTTGTACTGTATTTCTATGACTCGTCTGAAGCTCACCGATCCAAAAGTCCAATGACAGAAACCGAAATGCTGCAACCAGCTCAGAACTTAATGAAATGACGCTGTTCTTAATCTGATTACTGAGGCTGCTCTGTAGATTATTCCTATGAACACAAAGACAACATTGTTCCTTCTGAGCTGTTTTTGTTCTTTCTGGAGCATAAACCGCTTTAATTCTGATATAATAGATTACATTCTGTGGAATGAAGGAAACTGGAATATTTGAAGAAAGTGCGATGAAACTTTCATGTTTGCAATATCTGAACAAAGCCTCTATCAGTTGTTCGTTTTCTTTACCCACTTGTTCCTGTTCAGGGTCACAGGGGTCTGGTGCCTGTTTCCAGAAGTCATCAGGTGAGAGGTGAGTTCACCTCGACAGCCAACCAGCCACACACACAGAACCATTCACACTCACACCTGTCTACATCAGTCTGAATCAATCTAATGCATTCATCCACCAAATCGTCAATGCAATTCAAGATTTCTTTTGCTAGGCCCGTCATGATAACAAATTTTGCTGGGCAATTAATTGTCTCAGAAATAATTGCGATAAACGATAATATAGTTTGAAATTTGATAGTAATTAGTAATTATTGTCATAGGTGGAGGGGGGCTGAGTGAATGCTCACCCCATCCCACCTCGTTTCGCATCGGCGATCACACCGCTCCCGGCCGACAGCGCCCTCATGGTTGCCCGGCGGAACCCAGGAGGAGGCTGACATGAAGGGACCCCTTTTTTTTCTACGTCCCACGCCTTTTCCCGCCAGTTCGGATGATCGGCGGGAAGGTTGTTTTCACTGGGCTCCACTCTGGCTCACCGTCTTGATCCATACGGCCCCGTGTTCCAACAGGACGTTCGACGGGCGAGGCCACAGACGGTTCTTTCCTGGTAGATTGGGGGAGTCGGTCCCCAGTCCGCTCCCATCACCAGAGTTGAGGGATTCACCGAGCGGGGCTATTCCTCGGTAACCCCCCTGGAGCCAAGCCTCGCGGAAGCCTTCGGAGCGAAGCTGCCCAGGTCGGAGCAGCGTCCCGTCCCTCCGGAGGAACACAAACCAGACGGTGACCACGCTCTCCAATCGAGCCCACCGATGTGTTTTTCAGGCAGCCGCAGCTAGCAACAACGTGCCCGCTGCTAGCATATAGCATGTCCAAGGGACTGAAGGCCGCAGACCTGCCTTGGAGACAAAGAACTCCTTCTGTAAGGCAGCTGACGTCAGCTCAACATGTGTGCCTCTCCTACGGTTTGCCTGTCGAGGATTGCAGCGTGGATGACGATGATCCAACGATCCACCTGGCTTTGTTACTCCCCTCGCTGCCGGAGAAACTGCACAAGACCTGATGAAGCCCATCGCGGACGCGCTGTTCAGAGCAGCTTCAAACCATGCTGGCGAATTGAAACAGTCGGAGGAGGTGCCAGAGACTGTGCACCACCTCATCAAGCCGCGCGGCTCATCCCGGCCCGCTGGAGGGACCGTCGCGAGCAAGCTTCGACTTTTCCACGGCCGCGGCTCTCGCTGAGTTCCACCACCAGCCCCGCCCGTCAGAATCCAGCCCTCTTCATTTCGGCAACCTGCAGCTCAGCGTTTCCCCAGAGTTCGCCTGCAAGACAGCGCTCTGGGCAAACAATCGCAGAGCTCATGAGAGAGAAGTTTCTCAAAATGACGGTCTCCGGAGGGTGTGTGTAAAAGTGACACGAAAGTTGAAATAAATCATCATTTAATGATCAAAGTGTCTGTTTTTTAGCCAGTCTGTAAGCTCGGATGAGCTCACAGCGGCCGCACACATAAAGAGCCGGTGTCCTTAATAAGGTTTTTTAAACTCACCGCCGCTCCAAGACATTACTAGTCACTCACACGGCACGATGGTAAGTGAAAATAACTCGTTATCATCCCGAGCTGCACGATCCTCACTCAAGCGGTGTCAACTCGCACTCGTGGGATGAAACAGCCTCCACACATGAGCCGGTGTCCTTAATTAAAGGTTTTTTAACTCGCCGCCGCTCTAGACATGATGAGTCGATCACACGACATGATGGTAAGCGAAAATAACTCGTTATCAACTGGAGCTACATGATTCTCACTCAAGCGGTACCAACTCGCACTCGTGGGATGAAACAGCCTCCATCCAACGGCGCTGCGTTGATGTTGGCGCACATATACAGCTGCCCGGCGCTAACCGGCTCACATCGGTATAAATGTGGTCCGCAGGCTGGTTCGGGTGGAGGTCCTTCACTCTCACAAGAAGCGACACCCGTCTCAACGAATCAAACGCGGGCAGCCGTCACCCACCGCGTCTCAGCGTTCGGCAGCTCACGGCAGCATAAGCGTGAAGCAGCTGAACGAACCCGGTGATGAGTCCCGCCTCCCTCCAGCGCGCGCCCCTCCAGCGAGAGCGGCGCGCGTCCCTCCAGAGAAAAACGTGTGCTCCCGCGGGGCTAGCAGCCTTCACTCCAACAGCACGGCGTAAATGAAGTCACGCCCTCCGCCTCTCAACGTTCGCACAGCGACGTCAAACGCGCAGCCCCACCGCGTCATCAGCTGTCACACGCTTCGCCTTCAGCACAAGCCTTGCCTTGGATCACACAGAAAACATTCCCGCGACGCATGACGGCGGTTGAGGGGCGGACTGCTGACAGCCGTACAAAACACGCACGTTCACCCTACGAACGTTACGTAGAGTGGCTAAAACATGCTCGCCGTTTTTCAGATGGATGGACAGGGTTTTATGCAAATGGTTACAAGTTACAGTTTGCAACCCGAACCCCTCCATTCAGAGGAGTTATAAAAACGGTCCTGTCATCATCAGACTAAATCTCATCCTTAAATGCAGAAGTCCAAGTGTTTCTGATAAAAGTAATCTCCAGAGTCCCCCAACGGAGAGAAAACACAGGGTTTTTACTCACGGATCGGAGGGATGAGACCGTTTTTTGGACCTGTTGTACAACATCCAGAGAACGCATACCGATCATCCTAAAACACAGAGACGAGAGTTTTTGTTTTACCTGGATGATCTGCTGCTCCTGTCACTCCAGACAGGAGGCGCTGATGCAGGATCAGGTGTTGACATCACACCTGTTAAATCTGGGCTTCGCCATAAATTGGAAGGAAGCTTGATTTTCCCGGCCCAGACATTTGTTTATCTGGGAGTGGAATTAAATTCAACCACCATGAAAGCTCGTTTATCACAAACGAGATTCGACACTTTTAAAAAGTCAACTCCGCCACGTAAGACCTGGCAAGTGATAACAGCTGTCTCCGTCATGAAGCTGTTGGGAATGATGTCATCAACTCACACAGTGGTTCCGCTGGTTTGTTACACATGAGACGCCTCCAGAGGTGGTTTGCACGTCTGCATGTGGATCCAGTAAAACAAAACGACGGATGATCATTGTCCCTTCCTCTGTGAGAGCAGACCTCCGACTCTGGGGAAACACCCTGGTTCTGTCAGAGGGAGTCCCCGTCAGCAGACCCACGTCACACGTGTCAGTCTTCACGGACGCGTCGCTGTCAGGCTGGGGGGGGGAGCATGCCTATCTCAAGCAGTAGGGGCGCTGTGGCCCCACCACACATCAGCCCACATCAATGTTTTGGAGTGTCGCACAGTACTGAATATGATTCAACACTTTGCTCCCGTGCTACAGAATCAACACGTGTCGATTCACACAGACAACATGGTGACTGCTGCGTACATAACCACCAAGGCGTGTGCGTTCAGCCCAGATGTTACACATTGCACGAAAGCTACTGTGTTGGGCTCATCAAACCTGCTCTCCATTAGAGCGGTTTACATATCCGGTTTCTGAACAGAGGGGCAGATGTGATGTCCAGGGGCGGCCCACGTCACGCGGACTGGACCCTCCATCCAGATCTGATGTTTTCAGACGTGGCAGAAGTTGGCAAAGCAGCTGTGGACCTGTTTGCGACGCGAGAGAACTCTCAGTGTCAACTATGGTTTTCCCTGAGCCCACGAGACGATCCATCGCTGGGGGTGGATGCATTTGCTCACAGCCCGTGGCCCAAAATGCTTTTGTACGCGTTTTCTCCCACCTCCTATGTTTTTACGGTTCCTGAACCAAGTTCAGGAGGAGGGATTGACAGCTCTCCTGGTGGCTCCCGAGCGCGTGAACGCACCATGGTTCCCAGTCCTGCAACGTCTGTTGTCGGGTCGCCCGTGGAAACTGCCGTGGAGGGAGGATGCTCTCCTTCAAGCAGGAGGAGCGATCAAGAGTTACCCAGAAATAGGTCAGCACCTGTGGGTCTGACCGCTGGGCGGTCCCACTTAGAGAGGATGGGTCTCCCTCAGGAGATAGTGTGCACAATTCAAGATTCACGTGCTGCATCTGCCACAGCTCTGTACACATCAAAGGAGACGGCTTTTCAGCGCTGGTGTACAGAGAAAGGTTTAGAGGCCACCTCATGCCTTTTAGGCGGCGTGTTGTCTTTCTACAACAGCTGATGGATAGGAAGTTGGCATTCAGTACGTTTTAACGTACGTTGCAGTCATCTCTTCCTGCCACGAAGGGTTCGGAGACAGAACAGCTTTTAATCACCCGCTGATGAAGCGTTTTTCTAAAAGGTGTTCAAAGACGCAGGCCTGCTTCATGCCCACTTGCTCCACAGTGGGATTTAACGCTGGTCCTGCGAGCCCTGATCAAAGCTCCAATTGAGCCTCTGGATCAGGTTTTCACTTAAATTCTTGTCTCTTAAAACAGTCCTGCTGCTGGCTTTAACACCCGCTAAGAGGGTAAGTAATTTATCTGCCCTCTCTGTTGCTTCGTCATGCCTTAGAATTTAGGCTGACGGGCAGCTCAGCTGATTTAAGACCAAACCCAGCTTTTATGCC